ACACACACACACACACACACACACACACACACACACACACACAGGTGGGAGGGTCGATGGACTGTGTCCTCCCTGCCAGCTTCCATCAGCGTGGCAGACGAGACCCCATCCTTCGCCCTCTTCACTGCTCCTTGTCTTGGAAGACATCACCCCCCTTCTTTGCTAATCCCCCACAGCCCTGCTGATATTTAAAATGCATAAGTCCTCCTTTCATTGGCTTTATGAGATTGAGAGCTAGTTCATTCATATCTTCCGCCACTGTGGCATTTGTTTAAGGTTTTATCTCTCCTCAGGCAATGTGGAAATCCTCCAGAGGGTTATTTTTGATTTGTTCAGATTTTTCTTTGTTCAGATTTATCGAGAAATGCGTACAATGCTTGAAGAGTGCAGTATGAGGTTTCTCTTTAGTATTCACATTATCTTGTGGAGGAGGGAACGCATTAGATGATACATGTTCTGGTCCTATATCTACTGTATATAAGGTCCCGGAGCAGACGTTGGGACATATACTATGGCCTGACTGAATATTGACTAGGTTTTGCCAGGTTGTCGCCTTAAGCTAAGCATTTGCTTGCACCCTTCTTCTTTTCCCATTAAGTTACCGGCCTCTCTACCACAGGCACACTGTGCCTCTCCACAGAGCCATCACAAACCTTTCACTAACTGACTCACAGACTGCGCTAAAATCCTTGTTTCAAAGGGCCATTAAAATTATGCAACTGTCATAATTAAGTGGTATATCTAGCATCGGTTCTCTCCGTTGGATAAAATATATATATTTTTTAAAATAGAATATGTTGCAATATATTCGCCAATATTACCAGTGGCAAGTAAGCACTACATGCGTAAATGTATGGCGAGTCAGTATGGGTTAAAGTTGAGTGTTTTTTTTTTTTTTTCCCCCCTCTACGCTGAAATCCCATCTGTGTGTATGTGGAAAACTTCACGTCATTCGTGATTTTCGTGGCAATGTCTGGGCGAATCTCTGGCAAAAGTCATAGCACACCATTCACAATCAGGCTGCGTTTTTTTGCAACGCTGTGGGAGGAGAAGCGCCCCAAACTTTTGTACGGAAGATGGAGAATGAGATGATTACGCCCACAGGATTATTGTTATTGTGCTGTAGCACAGCCACACTGAACTTTTTAACGTTCGATTGAGTTGCAAAATTTTAATATAGCGCAATTCACTAACTTCTTTGGAGTTCCAGACCAACCCACACCCACACCCACACACAGTCCTGCCATCCCTCACTTTGTTCCCACTGCATTTACATCCGATATACGAGGCCACAGAGGTGACTGGAGGCTTTGCTTTGAACATTCTGGAGAAATTGCCTCTGTACTCAACTAACTGAATCAAAATGCAGAGCCTCTGTTTGTAGCCTACAGGGATGACTTTGCAGCATGAAGAGATTTTTGTACATCATCTGAATGTGTGTGAACTGTAATGTATGAATTATCACAAAAGACCATATGCAGTGTACATTTTTGTCAGCGGGTATAAATAAATCTTAAAAAAGGCCGCGTGTCAGCATCATTGCAGCACAGTGAATGAACTCCCACATGCATAGTTGCAGTATATTCACTGTACTGCAGTTATGCATGAAGACGCATGAATAGGAATGAAGACTTACTAAGCAGTGCTCCTCCATAAAGGCGAACAGAGATGCTAGTCGTGGAGAGCTCCTCCTCGAAAACAACCTCATATAGCTGGTTGGGAAACACTAGGGCCTGTGTAGGAAAAATACAAGCACAATACAACTCTGTCATATCCACAGCATTCTGTCCTCCCCTCAAGCCCCCAAAATACAGCAGCATTGACAAAGTCTCCCTGTCTGCCAGTTAGACTCACTGTGTATGACCTCAACACTGAGGACATTGAGCATTTAGGAACTATAGCTGACAAAGACTGAGCTGTATCTCCTCTGCTGGGTTCACAAGACATATCTCCTACTTTGATAGGAGTGCTTTGTCTCCTTAAATAACTATACAGAAGTCTCTTTATTGATAGAGATGGGATCTTCTATCATGGTATATGTAACTGTACACCACGTTACCAGTATCACAACACAGCAATTGTTCTGTAAAGTTAATTAAGAAATGTTAAAATAACTATACCGTACCACAGTTGCAAAACAGACTTGAATTTTCCTGCAGGATTTGCTCATCCTTCATTTTAAAATGTCATATCACAAAGTAAACAGTAAGCAGATGTCTGGTAATTATGTAACCAGAGTTCTTCCCATTCTTGGGCTGGTTGGGATGCCTCCTCCTCCTGCTCTGCATTTACAACTACACTGTCCTCATCTGCCCGCCCACACACACACACACACACACACACACACACACACACTTTAGATCGAGACTATCAAAAGATTTAAGCAACACTTACCAGCACGGCCATAACTGTGAAACCCACTGCAGAGATGAGTATCCACATCCTAAGAAGAGAGACATTACATGACCTACTGTATCCTTTATGGAAGCAATTCTGATTGAGCATTTGTTTTTACAAGATGTTGAACTTTACTGGAAGTGACACACGGATGACCTCACAGTCTGCTGTGTTAACTGTGAGCTGGTCTGAGCAGCCGAAATCTCACCTCAGCCCGATGGGTTCTCGCACTGCAAACTTCATCTCATTTCCGAGCATCTGACTGATCTGTGAAGCGAACGAGGCAAAACAAAAAGAAAGAGGAAATGAGTTATGAGAAGGGAAATATAAAAGCAATCATGTCATCTCAACGGATACATATTATGACAAAGCACCACAAAGCCAAGAATAAAGTGCTCTCCATTCAGGTGTATTTCATGTTGCCAACACATCTGGAGACAGCTATTGGAAAGAAGCCCATTAAACAAAGTGGAGAGAAAAGAAGAGGCCGAGTGTCAAGAAGAACCTATCAAGTTGCTAATTAAACTGTAAATTTCTTCACTTCCTTAATTACCCCATTATGATTAAGAGGGTATAACTTTGTTTATACTTGGGCGACCTCCACAGATGGTGCTTAAGCTCAATGTCTGGTTCGTTGTAGTGTTCTCTGAAACACCAGAGTACAAACAAAATTACTGAGAGGAAGCAAGAAGTCAACAAGTGTTACTGGCAAAACGCCATCAACAGGATGCCGAGGAGGAATTGTAGTCAAGTGTAGACTCGTATCTCATATTCATGGGCACACTTTATCGCCTTTATACAAGCCCTGAAAAGAAAGAAACCCCGAGTATTAAATCATGTCTAATGAAACGAAGGCTGAATATCCTGGAAACAAGGCTAAAATCTTTACTCAAACAAGATTCTATGGACCCCCGTTTCTAAAGCGTTTGAAAACGACCCACCACGCAAGCTGCCAGTTTGTAACGCGCGAACCTCGTGCCAGTTTCACTACGGTAAGTATAAACCCATCTTAAGTCATCACAACATCTTGCTGTGAATTCTGGATGAATAACCAACTACCACGTCTATGCCAGCTAAAACTAACATAAGCCTAGCAACACAAGTACCACGCAATACTCTATTCTAAATCTCTCATCACAGATGCTAGTAACTGGCAACTTGTTTTTCCAACTCTGCTCCATCAGGCACCAATATATTCATGTGAACCTCTCAGAAAAAATATGAAGCATGCAGTCATAGTCTGTGGCTCTATTTGTTTAGTCTGATATTACCAGCATCCCAATAGTCATCTACAACTATCTGAGGGCATGTCTGATGTAGTGTCAAATTAGTTAATTTCATAATTAGTCGATGCACACAAAAAAATGCATCACTGACACACTTGATAATTAAAGTAATGTTGTCGCAAACATTTGCTGGTTCCAGCCTCTAGAATTGTAGATTTTCTTTTGTCAACTTAAATATCAGCCAGACTAAACAAGCAATTTGTAAACATCGCCTTAGGCTCTTAACAACTATGGCCAGTTTCACAATTTTCTGATATTGTGTAGACAAAAATAAATAGATTAGATTTTGCTCTGTACGCAAATGAGCCAGATCTCTAGACACAGTGAAAATCAGTCGGTTATAGCTGCATATAGTATGCAATGTGTACACTGCATTTCTCTGCAAATGATCTACAATGAAACGACAGTCTCAGTGTATACGTCTGTAAATGTATAGAAAACAAAGGATGTGGTTTGGAGAGCAGGAGCACAGATTCTTTTTGCATGCGAGGAGGATGGCAGAAATGTTGCTGGAAAAAAAATTCAAATGTTGGTTGATTTTTCTTAAAATACCCAAGGACATGTAGGTAAACAAACTGTCCCAGATAAGCCACACAGAGGGAAAGAGAAACAACAAACCTGTTTTTGTTTTGCCTGAACAGACAGTAAGCCGCAGAGAAATTACAATTGTTGGTTGAAGTTTTATTCCTTCATCAAAAGCCTTTAGGTCTCATCACTTTCATAATATCAATGAGTATTGTACAGTGCCTTGCAAAAGTCTTCCCCCCGTGGAGTTTGTCGTATTTTGTTGCATTACAACCTGGAATAAATATCTTTTCATTACCGAGCACTGCATCAGCAACAACCGTGTTACATCAAATCAAATCATATCATGAGAAATATCCTCATGAGTTCAAGAGCATTTAAGGTCTAAAATATGATCGATATCAATGAGACCTAAAACTGCCATGTTACTGTTTTGCATATTTCTGTTATCCACTTTACATATTCCAATCGCAAATTGAGTGAGACCAATGACCTCGTCGGTAGCTCTGTAGGACTAGCATTTTATGATGTCAAAAATAGAAGGGAAGATATCAAAAAGTTTGTTGAAAATTGAATGGGGGGAAAAAAAACAAAAAAAACAAAAAAAAAAAAAATGAATCAGTGTTCCTGATTTTTCTTAAACATGTTCTGTCATGGCTGCTGCTGCTAGCTTTGATATCAGAGCAGAGGCCTTAAGAAAAGACACCCTTGAAGTTAAACTTTAAACAAATGTAGCTAAAGAGTTACAGACTACACCCATTACATCTCCCCTTGCACTGCGATTGAAGTGCCTGTTCATGAATCGGTCTCTGCCAGCTGTGATTACATGACCAGGTGAGTCAGCCTTCCTGTGCCATGGTTTCAGGGGCTGTTTTTGACGGGAACACATACATATTCATGACTGGCATGAGAAATACTCAAAGGGAAATGATCATCAACTGATGTCAAAGACTTGGCTTGGGGTGGAATAGAGCGGAAGGGAGTTGGGGAGAGAGGGAGAAACAGGAAAAGGAAGAAATGCACAATGCCGTTTGGGGAGAGAGAGACGCTTAATCACAGCTGCTATGGTCCGACCTTGTCGTCAGTCAATCAGGCAGCTACATTCAGGAAAGAAAGGGCAGCTCATCAGCTACAGAGTGGGAAAAATATTCAGGAGCCGTAGAGGAAGAAGAATCTCCTCACCAAACTAATCATGTTGTCAGTTTGTGCAGTCACGTTAGATAGTGATAGCGGGGGCGGCCGTGGCTCACTGGGTAGAGAGGGTCGTCAGGTAAACGCGGTTCGATCCTCGGCTGCTACATGTCCTGTGCCGAAGTGTCCCTGAGCAAGACACTGAACCCCTAACTGCTCCCCGGGCGCTTCTCAGCAGCCCACTGCTCCCAATAAGCTAGGAATGGGTTAAATGCAGAAGTAAAATTTTGTATATGACAATAAAATCCTAACTTTCAAATTCAGACGTAATCCTCTGGGATAGAAAACAAATGTACATAAAACATCGTGGAATGTCTCATCTATGAAGGCCTGGGCTCATGATTCATGGCTTTAGTGCTGAAGTAGTGTACCAGTGGGTTAAAATAGCACAATTGCACTCACCTCTCACTGAAGTATAAGTAATAGGAACATTATTCTTATCTCCAAGCAGTAAAAGAGACAGGAAGAGACACTTCCCTCCTTTGTTTGGAGGGACCACAGGGATAAAGTTTCCCTTCCAAACCAATTCTTGCTATGCAGTTAAATGTTGGATCCCATGGGTCTCTTACCACAAATACTTGTGGCGAGGATACATACAACTCAATGGAGCACAGTGTAAAAGCAACAATTACATTTCTAAATTAGGGTCAATGCCACAGCTAAATAGGGACACCTGCTATTGCTGGATCCCCTTGCAATCATTACATCCTGTAGCAAACCTAGATGATCCTTCTCAAATAAAATACGTTTTATTGGCGTGGATGACGTTCTCCATCAGTACGCTTTGTGAAAGGGATCTGACTGGCAGATGTCTGGGTTAGGCTCCTTGCTAAAACATTGAGAGAGAAAACACTCAGAAGGGCGCCATCTCATCACAAGCCATCAGCCACCACCGTATGCCCGCTCCCTACTCTTCTGTTCCCTTCTCCCACATGCCTGATTAATATTTCAGTGAGGAACAGTCAGCTCTGCCTATGCTCATTCAAATGCAATCTGATAAAAAAAAAAAAAAAAAAAAAAAAAAAAAAAAAAAAAAAATCATTGCAATCTTGATATTAGAGTCCTTGTGTCTGCTGGCATGAACCTGCATGTGCCGTTGCGTTTTGGGATACACATCGTTGTACACCGTCAATGCGAGTGTGCAAATACGAGAGGCAGGAATATAATACACGATCTGCAAGAGGCAGGGAGTCTCTCAGGGGGAGCCAGTCACATCTCAGTGGAGCTCATGGGATTGCGTAATCTAGATTCATTGACGCATACGCAGCAAACGCACAGGGGAGTGATGAGGCAATTAGCAGCAGATTGTGGCTTTTAAAAAGGAATCCATAGCTCTGCTCAGGGTAACGTGTGTGCATCTGTGGTTGAGTCAATTTTTGTTTGCACACTGCTGCAATATCCATTTGACTGATGGTTATAAATGCAGCGCGTGTTAAACCACCGAGTTCATTGTCACGCTAATGCACTGGCTATTTGCCTTTGTCTACGGTCACTGCACCATATTGAATAAAAATGACATGAATGTAAAATCATGCAGCTTAATCTGACCTTTGAGCGGTGCACTTCGCCATCATCATCCTCGCCGCCGACTCCGAGGATCTTCCGGCTCTTCAGGCGGCTTATCAGGTCTGTCTGACTGTGCTTCTTCATCAGAGGAGGGTGAGGCTTAGACGCCATGGTGCACACACCTGACAAAGAAGTGGAAAATAAAATAAACAGATAGATATAGATACATCGGTGGAGCTTTTCCCTCTGGTATTACCCCTCGCACGACATCTCTCTAGGGCACAGGCAGGAAGAGGTACCAATATACAAATAATCCCCGTGAGGACTTGATTTATGCAACACAATTCCATAACATGAGTCAAGCAAATACAGGCAACCCATAAAACCTTCCCCTTAAGTCAGACATCCCAGATCTGCCCCACTGAAAGAGCCAATAGATCGGATAGTGACACAGGATACTACTGCACACGTGTAAATGAAGCTGGACTTTTAGGCCCGAGTGCCACAGTTTCCATATTGGCATGTATTGTCTACACAGCAATATGCCCCAACCTTCGCAACAGATATTTATGTCTCATTTGAAATTATTACTTAATGGCCTGTATTCCAACAATCTAATTTATTTCATTTTCTATAATTTGGCAGTTCCCTGCTTTAAGCTCTCATCATGACTCATTTTTATCCCCACATGCTGATTTGATTAAAACCAGACTAAAGCTGCACTGCTGCACAGCCAGCTTTGTTAGTTTTTCAAGTAATATAAAATGTATTTCACAAAATGCAACAATAAAGATGTGACTCCTGTATCCGTTTTAGTAGAAATGGTATCAACAGACATCTGGGCTTTTTGCTTTGTTAATACAGCCCATTATTATCATCATCATCAATTCAAAATGTCTGATCCATACATTCAGACAACCTCTTCTTTAATGAAGAGAACAGTAAATGGCAAACATTCACATGCCATTTGTTGGCTGCTAACTGTCAGCAGGATGTGCTGCTGTGGTCCTATTGATCTGCGTTAATGAATAGCACCTGTGGATTCACTGGGGACAAGCAGTCAAATCAAGAGATAAGCATCGACTCAGTAGTGCAAGTGTGTAGTAGTGTAACCTCCATGCTTCAACTGGAGGCAAAAAGGCACACAATGGGACAACGTTTCTAAAAATGCATGGCTACTCCATGGGGCAATTCTCTAAAGTAAAAAAAAAAAAAAAAAGGAATTATTGAACTAGTATTTCCAGGAAGGGGACACCACCGTGAACAATTGTCCTCAGGATAGGGGGACAAAAAAACAAACAAAAAAAAAAAAAAAAACACGATCAATACTAACAGGAAAACACAAAGCTCTCAGTTTTCCACAAATTAAATAGTGTCATCACAGTTAGAAGCACATTGTAAGCAAACCAACACTTTCCGTTTATATTTACTTGATGCCTACTGAGAACAAACTGCACACCGAGAGCAGAAAAGTAAAAACTCCTAACATACTAAAGCTCTCCAATACAAATGATGAGAGCTATATTCCATTTTAGTGATGGCTCAGTCAGAGAGCTATTGATTAAAAATACAATATCATTCGAGTCTGTACAGTTTTAGTGGATGCTCTATTGGAACTTCTGCTAAACCAATTAGTTAATCGTCAGTTTCTCATAACTTTCCCAACTGAGTAATCAATTCAGTAAATTACCATTTAAATACAAAGATTAAGCACTTGCAAATGTGATTATTTGCCGCTTGTCTTATATGCAATATGAAGAAACACCTTGGCTAAATTATGAAGTGAAAATTGGATTAATTTAGAATGTAAATAAACACATGCTGCAGTAATACTTGAAAAGCATTAAATTGCTAAAACTTTGCTCTAAACTCACAATCCCTTCTTTAGTATGGGTTTGGCTTGAACAGACAGGTGGGAACTAGAAAGTGTTAATCCGAGCACATTTCTGTCTGCTATACATGTAGCAAGGCTTAACATCCCCAGTATTGACATGCGTACATAGGCTTGGTGCGGTCAGTGGAGGTTACACAGCATGCGTTTTCAAACCTTCCACACAATGCATGAGGCACTAAACTTTCCCTTTTCTCTACCCATCAACAAGAAGAAGCACCACCAGAATAATTAAGAAAGTAGAAGGGAAACCTTGGTACTCGTGCAGGCCGACTTCGTTCTCACAACTGGGACAGGGCATCTTTTGATACAATACAATTTTGGTCAATACAGTTTTAAAAAAAAAAAAAAAAAAAAAAAAGTTTGCATTTTCTAAAGAAGTTACCCAATTTGACCAGATGTACAGTACTATGAGACGATATTTTCTCCAGCCCTACCGTCTACCTTCATATCATGCATATAAAAAGCCACCACTTCTACAACCTGTCCACTCCCAGGGAAGAGAACAGGTTAATCATCCTCCCTGCTCCCGTCGCCACGTAATTGGACTAAGTTGACGCTAAAATAATTATATTGCTGTAAATGATGTAAAAACTAACAGCAAAGGCATTTTGGCCCCCTGGATGTTGATCTGCGTTCACCATCAAAATCTATGATGAAGCAGTAAATAAGAGAGCACACTGCATGGTACACCACACATACAATCCCATAGCATGTCTCCACTTCAATCTCCTTAAGAGAGCGCCTCGACTTGCTAGAGTAATGCTGATGCAGTTGCCTAGCAACTGATGGAGTAATCGCTTGTTAATTATTGAAAGCACCTTTACAATTGAAACCACCTTCGATGATGACGTCTCTGCTGAGAGCCGCCAGTGGTTCCACTGTCATACAGTTAAGTGACGTTTTAGGATAAATGAATACTTTGATCCGTGTTCAGTCGACTGGAGAGAAGACACGCTTTCCTAATGAGTCGCCATAAAAGACTGCAAGACGAGCTTACACTGTATGTAATATCTCCCCTTAAGAATGGCAACGTACATATTCGTGAATCAAACCACATCTCGCCTGGACGACAATAGCGGGGTCAAATGTACAAGACAACAATCTACGAGTTGTGTAAAACAATGAAATATTTAAGGAGCTGAATTTAACAGCAGATCAACTGAGCCAGCCGTCCATTTTTAGGCTATATTAGTTGAAACAATTTTAAAAAAAAGGTATTAACCAAAAACACCTTGACTACACACAATGCAACAAAATATGAGGATGATTAAGAAGACAATCAATATATTAAAAAGCTGTATCTGCAGATTCCTCAAAAGCCATGCATGTGTGATAGTGAACATGCATATAATGCCCTCAAGGAAGCCTGAAGAGGGAGGTGTATCAGAGATCTATGCTGGAAAGCCTGCCATTGATGCAGTCTGGAGAGATGGGGCTTTTTTTTCTTCACTTTGTAATCATCTCTGCAGAATATCAATGCATTTACCTTCCAGTTGCTGACTGCGTGTCCAACTGGAAGAGTGAAAAATAGTCTTATCACAGAAGAAAATACCAATTAATTAGAGTGTGTGGGAAGAGAACAGGTTAGTCCACCTGGACTGAAGAATGATTTATAACCCGAGAACACAATCAATAAGATGAGTAACAAACAATATTCTCTTTGATTCTTTGTCAAGGTTTTGTAACAAAATATGTGCTGTGGAAATGAAACGCTGCTAAACATAGCGGGAAGATATTGTGGGAAAGGTGCAAATTCACCGAGAGATCTCTGGTAAACGACAAGACATTTTGTAAAATAAATAATTGTCAACAAAGCAGTGTGTGGGTGATGAGGAGCAACTGTGAACAAATGTGTTACTCAAAATAAGAAAGCAGACTCTACAGCTTGCTCAGCTCCTCTTTTCTATAATTAACTCGAGACAGTTGCCCAGTAGTCTCCAAATTCCCTCACCGCCATTTTTGGGATATCTAGCAGCATCATAACACAGATAGCATGGATAACACCTCAGGCTCTAGAAACAAGTGAGCGGTTCACGCTCAATGAAAAGCCCGTCCCTTGAGCCCACTCAACAAAAGTGACCTTAGTTAATGTATTACCTCTCACGGTTAGTGGTAATAGTTTGGATTTCTGCCCTGAGAAATACTGGAGCACAGTACAACTTTAAGCTGAAGACAGGAAGATCCAGTCTTCTGTGATCTGATGGAGTACGATCAAGCATAATTGACCTTTATGGATTCCAGAAGTCAACTTAGGACTGACCTCATTATAACTTCCACAAAGTTATTACAGCTCCAACCAAACACTGCCAAGTAGATTCAAACACATACAAGGTGTTGACAGTTGGGCTGTTATAACCCGACAACCCTCATGCTGGTGTCTACGAGTAGATTTCATTAGTTTGCATTTAATAAAAAGGTTCTTATTAACTTTTCTCCCTGCAAGAGTGGATAACAGTATTTACAATACAATCTCAAATTTGATCATCAATCCACCCCCCACTGACAAACACTGCAAGTATTATTATAATATACTGTGACCAATTATACTGTAATGAACATTACATTGTGCAGGTGTTCAAAATATTGTGGCAGCTATGTGAATTGCAAGATCAGAAATAGAAAAAAAACAGGAGATGTTATGCAGGGGCAACGAAACGGCCGACACATGACGAGTCTTAGATTGGGCCTTTTCTCTCCATGTGGCCTGTGCGATCACACATTTGGTCGACTGACATCGGTAGAGCTCAGGCGACGTAGGCACGGATTCCCACGATCTGCACATTACATCGTGTAAGTGGAGAGATTGATCCTGTGTAAATATCCAGCCATCCAGGGGCGTTGAAGCCATTTTATTCAAATCACCTAAAGTAATGGTTTCCCTGGCTAACAGGTGCCCACTCTGATGTGGTGGAAATTACAAATGAGGTTAAGTCGTGGCGAAAGGGCAGAGAAAACAGATGAACACAGAAAGTGCTGCTCATGACAGCTGGTGGTAAACAAAGGACGAAGGCAGTGAATCCCTATCTCGTGTCAGAACAGGCCACCAATGCTCAAACTCAGAGAAGATCTGTACACTCACTCCAACTGAGGGGAGAACTGCTGCTCCGTCAGCTACCATCAATGGATTATTGTGCTAAATCCAACAGATTAATGCTCTTTACTCATCTGGGGACAGTCACCATGGGATGAACTCAATGAGTCCTGGGATTTGGAGTTTCCCGGCCTAATATTCAGTTATTACATCACACTGCAGCAGGGGAAACTACCCTCTTATTGACGGACTTACTC